AGATTTTGTAAATGATAATTATAGGCAAAAAGATAATATTTAGTGCTGTTTGAATTGAGAATAATTGATTTGTTATTCAGATAAGTACTGGACCATTGCCAAAGCTGGTGCGGCTGCTCTCATCGAAAGAATTGAGGGGAGGCAAAATTTTTAGAATTTAGAGAAGCACCAAGTGATAAAATTAAGGGATAGTAAAATCTTTAGAATTTAGAGAAAGCACTGGAATGCAAAATTTAGGGTGGTAAAATGTTTAGAATTTAGGGAGGTGCCTGGCACACAGAATATAAGGATTGCACCAGGTGGTAAATTTTGAATACCGTCCTTGGATAAGTCTTTAAATATATGTGGTAATTTATTTATTTGAAACTCACTTAAGCTGTGCAGGAAATAGTCGTAGGTATAATAAGTAACTAAACTAATATAATTCAGACTTAATTTCATCAGTGTGCAATAGAAACAAACAAAATTTAGTGGAGCAAAATATTTTTAGTTACCATTTCATGACACATCACCAATAGTGTATAGTAAATACTAGCCAAGCTTTATGATGATGTTTGCCATGAATTTGAAGGTTTTTCAAATATCACAAACTAAAAATGAAATTTTTCAATGAATGGAATTTGTGAAGAAATGTGAAAACCTGAATGAAAATGATGTAACAGAAGTTTTTCATTCCGATGGCAATGCCCCAGTCTTCAATCAACAAACAGGTGGCGAAATCTGTGTTCCAGAAAGTATTGATAATGAAGAAGTGATAGAGAGTTTGCTGAGAATAATTTAGTGGGGATTCCCAAGGTGGCAATTACAGGGCATGAACAATTTAAACTTTTTAACAAGTTATGTCTATGTATAGAATTAAAGTAAAAGTGTTAGCATAAAAAGCAAAACAAATTAAACAACTTACATTGAAAAAAATATTTAATAAAGCAAACAAATAAATACTGAGCCTCCTCTTTATTTTTTTTATTTATTATTTATTTTATTTATTTATTTTGATTCTTTTAAGGTCATAAATGTGTTAATGTTTCACTGCTTCATAACTAACTACTTCATACTTTTAATTTTATAATTTCTACATATCCTCTTACTAGATTTAAACTGTTGATCTAATGTCTGAAAAAATCTCAAATTCATAATCATAGAAGTTTCAACGAGTCTGGATCTTGGGCATTGTATTGTATGTTGCCATTAAATAGGATTTTGTAGTGAAATTCAGAAGCTTTCATTGCAGAAATTCAGTTATGTGACAATGTTTCTAAGAAAACTACAAATATTTCTGACAATTCAAAAAAGGTTTTCAGGGTTGGCCACAGTGCTAGAGCAAATAAATGAGGAATTTGAAATTTCTTTTCTGCATTTGGCAAGCAAGCAAATATATCATTTTAATATTGTAACTCAATACACCAAATCCTATTTTGAATATCAACATTTAATAAGTTCTTCGATTGAAAAAAAATTAATTAAATATAAAGAAATACAGTACAAAGTTTGAAATCCGGACGTCCATTATCAGGAATGATCTAAAATCCAGACCTCAAAACCACCAACAGATTTTTTCTCATAGGCTTTACGCATGCATATTTAATTTCCCCTTCGCGCATAATAAAACATCTGGAAAGTCCCGATTCTTAATTTCACTTTAATACTAAATAAAATACCTTGTTACTGAAGAAACAATCATTTTAGCATAAAATTTGTGTGATCAGTAAATTGGCTTTGTTGCTGCGTATTTGCTTGGCACATATCCTCAGATTGAAACATTCCACATATCTACATCATTGATCTGACGCCAACCTGCTGAATCATTATTTATTATACTTTTCCTTTCATTACCACGTGTTTATCAAAACATGACAACTTGAATAATGACTCATGTAGCGATGCCTAAACAATTTTTTATGCTAGTATTTGAATAATAAAGGAGTGTGGTAACCTTTTATGTTGACAGTACGCTTGGCGATGATTACAGATTTCATTTCATAAATGCGCTAAAAAATGTTGACGAAGAAAAATTTACCAAACCTTTCTTTTCATATGCTAAAAATAGATTTTGTTGATACTCATAGACCCAAAGGTTACATTTAGGTCTGTTTGAATTAAGAATAACTGATTTGTTATTCCCATAAACCCAGAACCAGTACCAGGGCTCATGTTGCCACACCAAGTCGCAGAATTTTGGACCCACAGAAACTGCATCACGTGGTAAGATATCTAGCGCCGGCTCTCAATAAGGCTTCAGTATATGTGGGAATTTATTTATTCAAAATTTATTTATGTGCAAGAAATCAGTATAATAAAAATAACTTGTACAATTCAGGTTTAATTGTCTCAGTGCACGATAGAAGCAAGATAAATTTAAAGAAACAATTTGTTAGTTGCCAAGCTCATAATGCATAGCCAAATACAATTATTCCACGAGTCCTGGAAATTAAAAGCTGGAATTTGTATATTTAGTTAAGGATAGCTGAATTTGATGACGACAGCCGCTAATTTAAAGGTTTTCGGATATCGCAAAACAAAAGTGAAATTTTCCAGTTAACAGATTTTGTAAGAGTGTGGCGAAGCGGTAATAAATGAAGAATAAAGAAGTTTTCATGTGCTTACAATGCTTCTCAATCATCAATCAATTAATAAATGGAGAAATCTGTAGTATGGTTCTAGATCCTGAAAATATCGCAACCGATAGTGACGAAAATGACAGAGAAGTTACTGAAAACGAGAAAATTTCAATTAACAAGTTAGTCAGAATTCTCGAAATAGCAGTTACAGGACTTCGTCAATGTAACTGAACAAGGAGTCTGTCTACAGAATTAAAGAAAAAGTATTAGCACAAAAAATGAAGCACAAAAAACTTAAAACACTGAACAGCTTACATTGAAAGAAATGTTTAAAAAAGAAAACAAATAAATATTAAGCTTTTTTTTTTTTTTTTTTAAATTTTGATACCTTTAGATCAGAATGCTTATTTCATAAATTGCAATTTCATATTTTTAATTTTATAATTTCTACATGCCATCTTACTAGATTTAAACTGATGATCTATTATCCAGAATCGCCGAAGTCCTGACGAATCCGGATTTCGGACTTTGTACTGTATTAATTCATTTCAATATTTTAATTCTCCTTAAGAGTAAATTGTGTTCCCGCAATGAATATGAAAGAAAACTCAAAATACTTTTTAATACATACTTTTTTGATATGTGGGATTGTAATATTAGAATTTTAAATGCTGAAAATCAACTTCGGCAAAAAAAAAAAAAAAAAAAATCGATCAAAAGCAAAATAATACATCCGGTAGTAGAATCTTTAGAGGCCTGCAGAAAAGAGATTTTTCTGAATATTTACAAGGCTTCGAAAATTTTAAGTAATCTTAATAGTTACAACATGTGCTGAGGAAAGATCATTTCCCATGTTAAAGCACCTTAAAAAGTATTCATGGAATAATACATATGAAATGCATTTAAATGGTTCAGTTTTGTTTTATTTATATACATATAATATTGTGGTAGGCACAGGAATGATGAAGCTTGGCATTTTAGTCTGTGCATTGTTTGGCAGAATGGGTACAGCAGAAATGAAACAGAAGGATTTAAATTAAATTTATTTAAGAATTTATTAAATTTTTTATAGCTCCATATCTTTATTCAATGCAAATGGCAGATCATTATTCTTTTAGACGAAATTCTCCAAATTACATATTTAATAATGATTGCGTCATACTACTCGAAGAAAGAGAAAGGATGGGAAGAGTAGCATCAGGAGGAGAAAGCAGTCTGATGAAAAATGGCTTGAACTCTGTATTTATACTAGCAGTTACATAACATGCCAGAATGTTCTCGAAAGTACTGGTGTAGGGGAAAGATCCGGAAATTAGCGAAGGTTAATTAGAGGTTGCCTGTTTGCGTAGAGCAAAGCCATCATATTTTTATATTTTACATATATATATATAAATGTGCCTGTAAAAGAGGGAAAAATTTAAAAAAAAAAAAAAAAAAAAAAGATAAATGGAATTAGTAATAACATGTGATTTGGTTGAATTAAAAATATGCTTCTAGGAATATCTTTGACCTGGTAATGAATGTAAGTCTTAATAACATTGTAATATAATTGGAATTAAATGGTTGTCATATATGCTTCTAGAAATATTTTTGACCTGATGTATTGTTGATTTGTGTTTTATTAAACTTTCATCTCAATAACATTGTAATATAAATGCAATTAAATGGATGTTGTATATTGTACTTAAATAACCTGGTATAACTATAAATATATGATTTTTAACTTTAGTTTTTAAATGGCAAAATTGTGAATTTAAAGTATTGCACAGTGATAATTTTGACATTATAATGGTGATTGCTTCCTAAAATATTAAATTCTAGGTACATAAATCAAGAATATGGTAATCTATGTGAAACGGAAGAATTCAGGGTTTTTGTTATATTTGGCTGTTTCTTTATGTAGTTATGTAAATTATTTCTAAATCGTAATCATAAATTTTGCGTTAATTTGTAACATATATTTCTTTCCACCTTTCCTGTTAACTGCTTTTGTTTATAGTGGTAATTTTGACTTTATAATGGTGATTGCTTCCTGAAAAAATTAAATTCTAGGTATATCACTGATATGCATAAAGCAACAATAAGTTAATCTATGTTAAATTGAAGAATTCGGGAGTTTTATTGTATTTGGGTATTTATGTTGCTGTATAAATTATTTTGCTGTATAAATTATTTGTGTAAAGTTAATAATGGCTAATTTTGCGATAATTTGTGACAAATATCTTTTTCCACCTTTTCTGTTAACTGCTTTTGTTTGTCTGTATAATTCTGTATTTTGCTTCTGTGTTGTATGATAATAGAAATTCTTTCTTTTAGTTTTCAGACATTCTGCAGATGCACACTTTACTTCTTTGTAACTAAATTGTTGCCATTATTCATATTTCTGTTTTATTTTTCAGATTGTTTAATTTTTTTAATATACATTTTCATTTTTTAATAAAGGACTTTCCGTTCTAATGGCTCCAGTTCTTCGGCAAGTGCCTGTTGCTGTGCTCTTTGGAGTATTTTTATACATGGGAATTTCAGCTCTTAGTGGAATTCAACTTTATGAGAGATTTCTTCTCATATTTATGCCTACAAAACACCATCCAGATTTGGCTTTTGTTCGTAAGGTAAAAATCTATAATTGGTGACATTAATTGGAAAAATAAAATTAATAAGAAGTTACTTGTTACGTTTTTCAGTCTTATGATCTTACCTTAATTTCTTAAAATTTTATTTTTTACTACTACTAGGTACGAACAAGCAAAATGCATCTGTACACAGCAGTTCAGGTACTTTGCATTGCTGTATTATGGATAATCAAAACGTATATTGCTCCTGCATTTCCATTTGGCTTGCTATCCATGGTATTTGTTCATTCACAGATCAAACGCCTTTTTACTAAGGAAGAAATAAAAGCTGTAAGTTAATTTTTAATTAATAAGAAGTTAGTCATGTTTAAGTACTTAACTTCATGATTTACCTGACTTTTTTAAGTTTTATTAAAATGTGTAAAGTTCATTGTAGCTTTTGTACAAAATGAAATTCTTATGCTAACATAAAGTTCTCAAGATAATTTGAAAATTCCTGGAAATGTTTTTGTACCTACCTCTGTAGTAATTCAGTATATACATTAAAAGTTTTAGCTATGATGTTTTACTTGTTCATTTGTAAAATACTGTGTTTTTATTTTAAGTAAATGTAAAATTTTATATGTGAAACTGTGTTAGAATTTGTTATGAAAATGTGTATGCATTTACCCCCTTAATTCATTTTTTATTATTATTATTTTAATAATGGTTTCTTGAGTTTTTCTGTAAACTACTAAAAACATCCCACACATTTTTATCCATTTTTTGGTTTTTGATTAGAAAGTATGTTTGCACCTAGTAGTTAAGAAATTATTTCTTTGTGTCTTGATTATAAGTAGTAAATGAAAGCTTTTTTTATTATTTCTGACTGACAAAAATGTAAATTTTCTCCATTTCTCCGTTAGTAATTTAGAGTATTGCAAGACATTTATATGCCTTATATACCAATGAAAGATATTTTTCTGTCTCATATGCCTGTTTTTTTATATCTTTATATGTCTCTAAAAATTGCCAGTAAATCTTAAAAGTACTTGACTTTTTTATCTGAACTGGAAATAAGGAAGGTTATTTCAATAGGAGAAAAGAAAGGTGAAAAAGAAAGGGCAATAAAATATGTTAATGTATTAATTATTTTGCTTCAACAAAATGCTAGTTTTCTACACCTAGAATGCAAATTTTTCTGCATGCTTTTGAAGTAAAGGCAAACTGTTATGCAAAATTTGACCAAGTGGCTAAACCCAAGGAACTCTGGAAGTTTATTCTGTTTTCTATTCCAGTTATGTTATGATTAGCTGCATGGATATGTGATGAATATGAATATAGTGTTGTGAAAGTACGTGAATTTTTAGAAAGTAATTTTCAAAAAATAAGCATAAGAACTACATAAATATATTCATTGATCATTTAAAAGTAAATAGAATATGACAGTTCATAGGAAATGGATATAACTTACCAGGAAGGGGGTTAAAATATGTAGGATTGAGAGGTTGTATAAAATCAATTGATGTCTTAGCTAAAAATGGATGGAAATAATCTGTAAATATTCATAATATCAAAATTAAAAAAAATATGCACACAACACACATACACACATACATACAGTTCAAAGTCTGTGATCCAGACTCATCGGGACTTCAACGATTTCAGATTTGGGAACTTTTGGGATATTAGATGATCAATTTAAATCCAGTAAGATGACATGTAGAAATTATAAAATTAAAAGTATGAAATAATGAAGAATTTATAACTTTAAGGGAATCAAAATTTAGAAAATAGCTCAATATTTATTTGTTTGTTTTATCAAACATTTCTTTCAATTTAAGTTGTTTAATTTGCATAATATTTTTGTTATAATACTTTCTCTTTAATTCTATACATAGATGCAGATAGCCCTCGAGTTGCTTTGCCTTAATATTGGCATATAGCCCTCAAACTGCTTTGCTTTAATCAATTAACATATAGAATTTCTTGTTCAGTTACAAAGTTCCATTTTTCAAGGCCTGTAATTGCTGCATTGAGAATTCCCACTGAGTTGTCTGTCAAATTTTTTCATTCTCAACAACCTTTCTGTCACTTTCTTTGCTATCAGTATCTTCTGGACTTGAAACCATGTTACAGATTTCATTGTCTGTCCATTTGTTGATTGGATTATTGGGGCAAGGCGGTTAGAATAGAAGGAGGGAGAGTTCGCAGTTTCTGATAAGCAGCGTTTATTTTTGTTCTGTCAAAACATTGCATTATATGCCAGTGAAACGTATGTGTTTCTAAGCTGTTCCGTGCATGTATTTTCCAGTAAAAGTATGTTAAATTTCTAATGAAATGCTTCGCTATTGTTAAATTTTTGTTTTAAAGTAATACAGATGATATTCATATTTTACTATGTATAAAAAATTATTAAGAATTAGTTCGAAATCCAAATACATGTGTATAACATTAAAGCCTTTAAAAATGATGTTTCTGCATAGTTCAAGAATTTCTTTCAGTTTTATTAGCAACCTCTTGGGTGTATTGTTTCCTTCAATAAGTGATATTTTTGATTTATTCATAATAATATCATAATTTATTAAAGAATCATTTCATATACAAAGTTTAAGAAATAGAAAAGAAATTTATTACATTTTATTATGCTTAAATAACTTCAGATTTAAGTTGTAATACACTAAAACAGAAATTCACATATTTTTATTGGCTATAGCAGTTGTTGAAATAGCTAATTTCAGGAGACTGGTACTTGATGCAAATAGTATTTCTTTTTTTTTTTAAAGCATTTATTGGCATACTTTAAAAATTTTAATAATTCTTAATTTCAATTAAAAAACACATAGCAACTTTTATACATTTATCAATTTTAGAATTATTTTGGGGGGGGGGAGATTGTTTTTGTGGAAATTTGAAAAAATTGTGAATTTTGATTCAGCTACATTAAATGAAATAACTTCATGGAATCCGAAAATCTAAAATGCTAAACTAATAAGGATAAAAATAAATAGCAAATAGATTTGCATGATGCATGTTAAAAGCAACAGCTAATTAAGATATGGTGGATTGAGATGGTTGCTTAGCGCACTGCATCTCCAAGTTCCATTAAAAAAATCTTATTTAAACCAAGTACAAGTCAAGTACTTTAATGGAACTTGGAGAAGTTCCATTAAAGATCTTATTTAAATTATATTCTAACTTATTTCTAATGCTTTCCAGGTCAGAAAATTTCTACGTGTCTTTGTACGGAAAATGTCTTTGTCTGATATTGAATAAAAAATGCAACAGCAAAAAAAATCTTGCCCATTTTTATTAAAATTACAACAGTCCACACAATACCGCAGTACAGCTGTTTTTAATAGATTACAATTATTAGCTCAAATTAATAACAGATAATTATCTAAAAAAATAGTCACGTCACAGGTTGCATTTTTTTAAATTAAAGTTTTAAATAGATTCTTTTCAAAACCAACAACCTTATAACAACAAGAAAATAAATATTAATAAAGTAAACAGATTTATGTGAATTTAATAATTTCAGTTTATGCATGTTTCATATTTATGAATTTCAAAGAAATTGCCTTAAATTACAAAAATATACCTATATAAATTGTTGGATACTTCTTTTCCAATATTCAGTTATGTAAATATTTTACTTACTTTTATCGCTTTTGAAATTTGTAAGTTTATGCAAACAATTTTTAAAAACAGAACAGTTTATCTTGATCAAATGCACAAATTATATTCATAACAGTTCACAAAACTTAAAAATGAATACAGTCAAAAGTCGTTAATCCGGATTCGTTGGGACTTCGGCGATTCCAGATTATCGATTTTTCTGGAATATAGATCATCAGTTTACATCTGGTAAGATGGCATGCAGAAATTATAAAATTAAAAATATGAAACCGTAATTTATGAAATAAAGAACAGTTATGATCTAAAGGGTATCAGAATAAAAAAAAAGCTTAATATTTATTTGTTTTCTTTATTAAACATTTCTTTCAATGTAAGTTGTCTAAGTTGCTTTGTTTTATGTGCTAATACTTTCTCTTTAATTCTATAAACAGACATAATTTATTCTTCAGTTACGAAGTTCCGCTGTTCAAGTCCTATAATTGCTGTATCGAGAATACCGACTAATTTGTCAATCGAAATTTTTTCGTTTTCGATAACCTCTGTGTCACTTTCTTAGCTATCGAAAGTGAATTATAATGACGAGGAATTTGATTTAAATCATATCAAAGACGGAGTACATCGAGATGAAATACTACATTTAGTAAGGAATTATAAGCCAAATAAAATAACAACATCTGCCCTGAAGATAAGGATAGTGCTGACAAATCAACTTCCAATTCATTGCGCGCCGCAACGTCCCCCCTTCCCCTGCGCAGAGCAGCGTGAAATTGATAAACAGATTTCGGAATGGTTAGAGAATCAAAGGATATGCCTTTATCCATTTTTGCAGCAATTCCACGTTTTGTTTGATTGACATTGAAACATACTCTCGCTTTATAGATCCTTTGGCAGCTCCAGCATCGGAAATTCTATTTGACGTAATCGAAAGTTCAAGCTTACTTTTATAAAATTGCTCTAACAGTCTGCAAAATATAATAAGCCAGATCCAATTCGAAGGTTAAGGAACAACGCAATCTGCAACATTAACTGAATTAGATAATTTTAGCTTAGCTTATACTGTCCGTTATACATTAAACGTGCATGCATTTAATGTATTATGTGCATATGCACACACATATTCGCAGCCATAAAGGTCTTATGCGCATGTGTCAACGCAATGCATGCGCAGAAAGTTTGTAGCTTTGAGCTCCGGGCAGAAAGTTTGTAGCTTTGAGCTCCGGATTATAGATCATTCCAGATTATGGGTGTCCAAATTAACGACTTTTGACTGTAATAATAAATAAAGAAAAGCATTACTTTATTTAATACCTTTAAGATTCATAAAATTAGTAACAATTGATTTCTTACTGTTCATTAAAATTATAAAACAAATTACCTAAAATGTTCAAATTATACATTTTAAATCCTAGCATATATCATTGTATGTTAAGGAATAAAGATACCAGCTATAAGCAGAAACATTAAAATTAATTTAACATATTTTGATTATTATTAAGTCCTTTTTTTAACATCTGAAAGGAAAATAACAAGATATTGTGATATTTTTCAACATATCAAATTACATTAAAAAATAATCAATACTGACACGTGAAAAGTAATCCTAGGAATCTTTTTTTCTTTTTTTGAAAATCGATTTGTGCATCTATATGCAACACAAGATGACATGCTTCAAAAAGAAAGAAAAAAAAAAAAATGTTGCAATGACAGACTTCCTTGCACAAGTCACAACGACAGTAGTAACGTGGCCGCCAAGATTCACGGTTTGAGTTGAACCTTCCCTCCTTCTAGTCTAACCTCCTTGGATTAGGGCATTATCATTGCAATCAAAATCTTCTGTTGTATAATCTTCATTTATTATTACTTCTTCACAAATTCCATTTAGTGGAAAATTTCGCTTTTTGTTTGCAATAGTTCAAAAACCTTCAAATTTATGGCTAGCATCATAAAGATTAGCTAGCATCCGTTATACACTATTTGCAATGTAGCCTGAATTATATTAATTATTAATTATACTTACGACTATTTCCTGCACATGCTTAAGGATTATCTAAGTATTGAATAAATAAATTCCTACATATCCTTAAGGCTTATCCACAAAGATTTTGCCATCCTTTAATTTTGTTGTTCAGTGCTTCTCTAATTCTAATATTGTGTACCCTAAATTCTGCTGCACCAGCTCTGGCATTAGTCTTGGGCTCATCTAAATAACAAATCAGTTACTCTCGATTCAAACAGCACTAAATGTAATCTTTCTTGGCCTATTATTGTCATTTACATAATCTCTTTCCCAACCCCCCCTTTTTTTATATACAGAGAAAAATTTGCCAGTACAACATTTCCCAGAAAGAGTTAGTTGAAGTCTATAAACATCACCAAGCATAATGTCAAATTAAAAGGTTTCCATGCTTTTTGGTATTCAATTATTAATAATAAATTTTTTAAATGCTAATGTAATCTGCCTGAGTCATTTCTCAAAAAAAAAAAAAAAAAAAAAAAAAAAAAAAACTGCATGGTTGTTGATAGTCATGCTCTGATGAAAGCAAAGAGTAATGAACAATGATTGGCCAGGATGGTGTCAGAGCCAAAGTGAAATTAAGAGTTGAGACTCTTCATATGTTTTATTATGGAAAGATATCAAATGTGCAAGTGTAAAACATTAAAAAAAGAGAGAAAATGAGTTGTTGGTGATTGTGATGTCCGATTTTAGATCGTTCTGGATATTAGACTTCTGGATTTTGGACTGTATACTGGATATATAATTTTTTACGAGTCCTACAAAATTTTTATAATTTCTTTTTTAAGAGCCGTTAATTTCCCCAAACACTGGAAAGTCTCATATGGTAAAAGCAAACATATTATGCTAATTAAGTGATAGTTAGGGACAGAATATTAAGGGGCTGTCAAAATAGGGAAGAAAAATACTGAAAATTTATATAAAAAGGAGTGAAAAAGTACTACTAGTACTATAATACTTTATTCATTTCTAAAGTAGCATTCTTTATTTATTCTTTGAATAAGCAGTTATAACACTCCGCAATAAATATGGGGCCATCTATAGGAAGTAGGCATGCCACTTACTGTTTAGAAGCCTGTTCCATTTGAAAACACTCACTTTTTCTTTTTTTTTTTGGCACTTTTAAGACTAGGAAATCCTTAAATTTGAAAAATTTGCTGAGAACTAACCATTGAAAACATCTTGCAAGAGCACAGAAACAGTTGAGGTTGCAGAGTTTTCTGCATCTGGATTTTCTTACACTTAATTCTTCAGTTTGGCAAATCCATCTGGACTGTCCTTCACAAACATCAATATCATCTAGTTTCTCTGATGCTAGATCTACATTTAACTCATTGAATAACTGCTGTCTTTCTGCCCCAGAAATGAAGGTACATGCCAAGGTAGTTTGCTCAGATTGTGATTTGTGAGATTTAGTATTCTTTGCTTGTTTGTGGTATATTAGATTTTCTGATTTCTTCTGCTTCTCTTCATTTGCAGTATTTTTACATCGCAGGTGATACATTAAATAATTTTAAACAGATAAATTGAATCAAATCAGAAAATTGCCTTTTGAATCTTGTGTTTTGCAGCAATTTTATAATTGGCTTAAAGTAAGTGATTTTCTTAGTAAAACGTTTTGGGTTAAGTTGAGGAGTGTCTTTTAACACAACCAACTGGAACAACTAATAATTACAAAGTCTGAAGTCTCAAGAATTCTTCTTGTCTTCTTAGCCTTAATTGCAGAAGCATGCGAGATGCAGAGGAAAAAAGGAGTAAAGAGCCTTGTTTCTGCATGGATTGAATAAAGTAACATGGTAATGACTGGCAAATGAAATTTATTGATCCTCTTGTTTGGTTTTCTGTAATTTCATTAATTACTGGAGCTCAACAATGTTTCATAACAGGAGGAGGAAAAATATTCTGGTTAATCAAAGAGGAAGGAAAAGATGCAGCCCCCACAGAAAAATTCAGTGGTTTACGTTTGCTTTGTTTGCATACTCTGGCGTGTATACGTCACACTATCTCTATAAAAACAGGGATGCTTTTTTAAAGGTGCTGCAATGTAACCTTTCACTAGAGGTAATATTGAGCCCCTAAGTGAAACTTTTAATCAGCACTCACTAAAAGGAATTAGTTGGGGTAGGTTAACCTGTGCATATTGTGGGGGATGATATAAGCTTTCGAGTGTCAGAATCTGCATAAAGCCTACATTGGCTTCTTATATGTATAATAGTGTAAGTAACATCTTGCTCAAATATTTAATTATTTTCTTTCAAAATTAGATATTACATGAACTTACATTTTTAAAGTTTTATGTATATTTAAGACATATTATTACGTATATTTAAGAATTTTGCAAATATTACGCTGATTTTTGTTGTTTGACTTCTGAATTAGTTTTTACGTATATGTTTACTATGCTACAAAAATATTCATTTAGGCTTATGAAAAATGCTATGTTCTTACCAAAATTGAATGAAAGATGCTATATTCTCATTAAATATGTTGTAATATAGCATTTTTCATTATATTATATATATAATGAAATTATTTTTATGTTTACAATTCTTTGGATAGAGTTATCTTTGTTTCAAGGTAAAATTTTGGTATGAATTTACTTTTTCCCTTGGTTTGGGGAGGGGCTAGAATTTTGGGGTGAACTATCATAATTAAAATACATTGGAATGATTCATCAGCTAATTCTGGATACAGAAAAGCTAGGATTTTTTATGGAAGAGAGATTTTAATTCATTTCAATGTTCTTCCTCCTGACAAAGTAGCACTGAAGTTGATTGAATTCCTCTTCTTTTCTATTCTTTAAAATTCATTATTTTTTTTAATTAGGGTTTTGCATGTTTGAAGTATTTTAGTTTTAACATTTATTAAATTCTTTTATATATTTATAGGATTTTTTCCAATTTATTACTTACGAATTTCAATTTTTGGTCTTTGTGTGAAATTGGTTCTAAATTTCGTGCTTTATGTCTTTACTGATAATTTTTTAGCAGCTTAATGCACGAAAATACAAGGCATGATTATATTATTTTAGAAAATTGTTTTGTATTTATGATATATATATATACACACATACCTGAATTTTTAAAAGGTCACATATATTGTATATGTATAATATTTTCTTTTTTTCTTGGCCTTACAGTTAGACGAAGGAGGTGCAGAAGATGATACACAAGACACTGAGGATGAACCTGATTTTTATGAACAAATTGTAGCCTAATTAATTAGTATTACAAACTGTGATTATTAATACAAAAAGTTTCCTATTTTAATCTTTGTGAATGGCTCTATTATTTTATACATGTAGCAGTATATTTTCGCATTATTAATATGACTGTACCAATTTTTCAACAGTACATAGGGAATTTGATGAAAAGTAAAATATAAATGCATGAAAGAAATATGAATAATTTTTAAGCATTTTTTAATCCAGAAGGAGTATATTTATTTAAGTGTATCTTTAGCATGAATATTTGAATCTCAGAATATATAACTATAAAAGTATGTAAAAATACTTTTTACAGCTTCTGTGATATTGTTTTGCCTTGATAATTTCTTATAATTATTGAATATGTACTGTATTTTATATTCATTATACTGTGTTAGCGATTAGCATATGCAAAGCAACTTTTGTATAAGACAGTAGACAGCTTGAAAATCATGACTAAATCTTGTAATTGAATTAAAAAGTATTGTAATTTCTAACTTACATTAATATTTACAAAACTCAAATAGTTATTATTTTGATTGGGTTATTCTAAGAAAGGATTTGCATAAATACTTTTTGTGCTTTATTTTAGCTTTAATTATCAGTATGTATGCAGTAATTAGTTTCTAGTATTTGTTTAATAATAAAATATTAATGGCATATATTTCTCTGAGGGTCAGTGTATTAAAGTAAATATATTGTGAAAACTTTTACTCCTCATTTCCTAATATTTTATTTTTAAATAAAATTGAAATGCAATTAATGTCAAAAAAGTTTGAGTTATATTAATGTAACACACATTTGTCTTTACATTTTTGAAACTGTCTTTAAGGTTATTCACCTTTTAACAAGCAGCCATCTTAACAAACCCATCTTAACCCTTTCAGGGGCGGTGGTTTCGCCTTGAAACCGCATTTTCAACATTTTTTTTTAATTTAGAAAATTTGGTTTTTTTTCTCAAAACCGCTGCTAAAATTAAATTATTTCTTAAGGCTGATAACAGACGGCAGCACCAAACCTTTCTGGGCATCCATTAATTAATACGAATCATTCAAAAATAGCTTCTTTTCCACACTACTCTTTTTGACCCATTTTAAAAACAAAAACCCAAAAATTTTTAATTTTTCCACAATATATTTTATAAGCAGGCATCAATGAGTAATGAAATGTCCTTTGTTCACAAAAAAAACGTAATGGAACCCCTTTAATTTTAAATGTTTTCATTGCGGTTTCAGTATGAAACCACCACCCCTCTGAGACATTGAAGAAAGGATCAGATGATGCAGTCCCGAGATTTTTTGCAGTTGTGTTTATTGCTTTCGGATCACTGCTGTAAACAGTTGCACCATATCTTCATTTGAGTGGCTTCAAAGATGAGGATTTATGGAGCTTTTGAGAGAGGGAAAACATTTCTTATTTTTTACAGAGACACAGAGCACACTGAAAAACATTCACAGTTGCATCTTTATTATGCTTCTCTTAGCAGTCGTTTTTCTCATGCTTCTAGTTCATAGTAAAATAATTGTGTGCATCTTAATTTATTTTATTTTTACATATAATTTTCTTAGTTTTTAACATAATTTTTAAAAATATTTATGAAAGTAATTTAGTGCATTATTAGTTACTTTTTCTCTCATACTTTTTTGTTTCCTGTTTTAAAATTTTTATTTATAATTAAAAATGCGTGTTTATGTAAATATTACCTACTTCATTAGTTGTTCAGTAATTTACTAGTATAATCTGCAATTTAGATTACGTTCAGATACTTTTCAGCAAAGTAAAGTAAATAAGCAAATGTTTAGTCTTAAATGCTCTAGATGGGCGCTGGTTTCAAGGCAAAGAAAGGGGGACGAAAAAAATTTTTTTAAATTTCATTTATGTTGTCTATAGGACCATTGCATGTCATTATGCTTACTTTTTCATAACTTAAAAAATCATAACATTGCGCCCCTGAAAGGTATAAAACACAAGTGTATGGCATTTATAAGATTTCATGAATTAATAGGCTACCTAATGGAACAATATTTTTTCTAATCATATAAAAATCATTTTTATGATCTTTGAAATTTAGTATTTTCACAATCTCAAGATCATGAAAATCATTTCTAGATAGTTAAGGAAAATAAAAAATATATACACATGCTTTAAAAACAAACTAATGCACTGTGTAAATATTGTTATTAAGTTAACAAACATTTTAGCTTTGAATTCTGGTTTTACAGAATGAGTGAAAAATTAAACTAAACACAATTAAATAAGATTGCTATATTACAATTAAAGTCTATCGGCCTTATCTCAAAATAATGTATTTCTGTGTACTTTCTACCTATAATAATATACTTTCTTTCATATATATATATTATTTTATTTTATAACACTTTTCTGTGAGCATTGTGTCAACATTGCCTAAATGTTTTCATAAAATCTTCACTCAATTTCAATCCCATTTTATTATTAAATGTTTTAAGTGATAATTCAATTTTATACTAGTTCAAATTTAATTAATTATGCAGTGTTAAATACATGAAATTACAATTATTTGATTTTTATGTGAAGTTTATCATTTGAAGTTCATGGCAAATTTTTCTTTTTAAAAAAAAGGGGGGAGAAGAAGAATAAATGAATTGTTGCTCCCAAGTATGAAAGACTTATTGTAAATTTCTCTAAATATTTTATAGAAAGTTTGGTATAAAAATATGTTTATTTTTTTTTTTTTTTATTTTTATTTTTATTTTTTTATTTATTTATTTATTTATTATTTTTTTTCAAGAGGGGGGAAAAATGCAATGGCAAATTAAGATATTTATTAAAATTACATGAATTATATTTCCTCTTTTTTAACTCTGCATATTTTAATTATCCTAAAACAGATTTCTAAGCTTTTGCAATGTGTATTTTTATTTTTAAAAAGGGGGGCTGTATTTTGTTAACATTTTAAGAACAATGTTTAGTTTTGTTTAAAAATAAAGTATTATTAGCATTTTTATGCAAACTATTTAATTCCAGAAATTGATTTCCTTTTCCATAATCTTAAACTGCATTATTTTAATTTTTTTTTTCCTTTTTTAAATGTCATTATATTAACATAAATAAGGAATCTGTATTTCCTTAAAGGTATTGTTTGCCAGCATCAGTCTAAATTCTCTGTGTTATTGATTCAGTTTAATCAAGAAATTTATATTTCACATTTTAAATTTTTACACTCCAGAAGTAATTGCCAACATACTAAAGTTAAATTCAATAACATTTTAAAATATGAACAGCATGTGTCAGCTTTGAAGCCTCAAAACTAGAATCTTTAAATTTGTAAAAAATATTGTAAAATTTATTTTAGCAAAATTATGGAAAACTAAATGTATGTTTCACTTTAAAATATATTAACATAAACCATAATTTTAAAACATGTACTATTAAATTTATGCAATTTTTGTCTTTATAATTTTATGAAACAAACAAATTTTTATTTTGCTAAGCAATTTTATGATGCAAAAATGCGAAATATTAATAATAATAATAATAATAAAACTAGTCATTAATATCAGCTGCTTTATAGATCAAAATGAGGTAGTAACAGCGTGAAATAATTATTAGTTGGCTAGAAGTATAATTCATTTATTTTAATAAGAATTGCTTAACAAAGGTTAAAAAGTACTGTAGTTTTCTCTTTCTTTTAAATGCATGAATATAATTCCTGTATTATTTGCTCTCATAATCAGAGCTTCATAAAAAACTGATAATTAGGAAATGAAGATTAGAGAAACTGTCTTTTAGTAATGTTCTCATATTTCATTATGCACTGTATTATAAATGAAATTTGTTTGGTGTTATTTTGGTTATCTTTTGGGGAAGAATATTACTTTTGAATTACACAAGTTATTTAAATTTGAATCTTTTATTTTTTAAATTAAAATATAAAACATCTTTTGTATCTTTTATTGAAAATCAATTCAGTTTAATATGGAGCTTAATATATGAGAGTTGTTTAATTATTATTAGTTTTCCATAGCACTCAGAATTAACATAACTTGAAATAAATAACTGAAGTTAATTCCATTATCTGACTATGACTGGTTTAAGGTAGATAATCATAAGACCATTTATATATTTTCATAATTAACTAAATATGCTACATCTAAAAAAATTTCATTAAATTCATACCATGCAAAAATAATATTTTAAAAATTATATCCGGAAATATAGGTTTAAAAATATAAATAATTGAGTCCCAAGTATGCAATGTGTCTTAGGAACATCCTTTATCAGTTACAGTAATAGTGCAAATATTTAAATAAGATATAATGTAAATTAAATATATTTTAAGATATATTAATTAGCTTGATTATTAAAAATTAAAAGATTTGGATTATTAAGAAGGATATTTAAAGGTTTTAAATCAATTAGTTTGTTAAGCAGTTATAAATGTGTTGTCTAATTGCAGCACTAAAAAAATTACTTTGCTCCTGTATTGTCTTTGTATATACTACTTGCATTGAAACTTCCCTAAGGTAATATCCATAATTGCAGAAGGAAAACTTTAAAATTGGTGAATTTTTTAGTGTTGCATCATAATTCCAGAAGATTTTACTCTGATATATACATTGTTGCCTTAGAGTTGTCAGTGGTTTTCAGTACTGATATTCACAGAAACTCGAGCTAGCCCTGATCTTGTGATAAGTTTAGTTTATTTATTATAATATTTAAGATCATATAATCTGTAAGCAAATCTCTTTTAAATCTTTGATTCATATATATTGGAGGCAGCTTTTGGATTGACAATTTATTATGTATCAAAATGTAGCTTTTTTATTTGTTATTTGTAGTTGAATCATGTAAACAAATTCACTGTAAACTGTCATGTAGAATAATGCTAATTTTGTGAAAAAAATACAATAGGTATTGTCTTCCCTGAATAAGTCACATTGATATTTCTTAAAAATTGATGTCTTCTCAAAATAGGACACATTGATGTTGATTGATTGATGTTTCTTAAAAACTGTCAGTGCTAATCATGACTGTATAGTAAAACAACTGACATTAAGTTTAATGTTAATTAAAAGAATAGCACCTACATTCAGTTTTGGTATTTATTCAGAAACTGCTTCTCATTTGTAATTTACTGTCAAGAATCTATCTCATTTTCTCTGTTTTCTCATTGTTTATTTTGCCTGTAAAGTATTACAGATCAATACTTCTTGATATTTTCTATTTAAAAATCACTAAGGGTTTTTAATTTCAGAATTCTTGTTTTATGAATATTGGTTTCCCTTGCACTATGTCATAATAAAATATTTTGTTGATCCTTACTTCTTCAGAAACATATTTGTTTTCTAAATTTACATTTCTTAATCCTTGTAAATCAATTTTTTCTAGCAACTTGAAGTTTTCTGCAACCAAAATTATTCAAAAAACATCTTCCATTGGTTAGATTTTCTAGAGGCATTTCACATTTAAAAAAATCTTTCTGTTCTAGTTAACTTTAATTCCAATCCATCTTTGCCTTCAGCCTTTAAGGAAATTATGTTTTAGTTCTCATTTCATCAACAGATGTTGTCAGTAGCTTAACTCCTGTCCAATCTTTCTTATCTTATCTAGTTCATTTGCAATTTTGCAGCTGAGGATGATGGTTCAGTAAAACTATGGAAACTAGTCCTGTGAAACTTTGAAAATATAATGCTGATTTGTGTTCTTCTAAATTAAAACTTGAAGTTTGCAAGATAGTCCAAATTTTTTCCTATAATTTTATATTTTATTCTGTACAAAGCCCGAAATCCAGATATTCAATATTCGGAACAATCTAATATTTGGACCTTCAGTCCAACAGCAGTTTTTTTTTTTTTTTAAAAAAAAAAAAAAAATCTAGGAAATGAGAATATTATAGTTTAAAAAAATAGGTGTGTCTTAAAATAATTTTTCTCCCATTTTGTTCAAATTCTTGTATGCCACTTTAATGGCAATACATTGATTGATGGATACTTGTATTAAAATTGGCATTCAGCTACTAATTCTTAGAAGCTCATTTTGGTTGTCTTAATTGATCCCATGAAGGGGCCAGACTGGTTGAAGTTCCCCAAGTAGGTGGTTCTGAGTACCTCAAAAAGAAAAAGGGAGGCAATTTTGCCTCTGAAAAGTCTCAACATTGTGCAAAAGGTGATCTCGTTAGCACAAGAGGGAGTTTGGCTGGAGAGGGAG